AATTAAGTGAAATGTGTTGGTAATTGGCTGTTGTGGGTGTTAGGGCCTGGAGGACCCTAGCATGTTGCAATTAAGAAAGTGCTGTACTCTACTACCATCTTGAAATGACAATTAAATTGGAAACGTTGTTGGGGAACCAGAGGGCGGAAATCTTTACCCAGACCAGAAGCAGGCCAAGCCAGCTTTGATTACTTATTTTTAACTATTAAAAAGAACTATAGCTAACCTTCCTAACTAAACTGCTACGGTAATTAGTGTAAAACGGAAATGATGATTAAACAGGTAAATTTCGTTCCCTAACTCGCTACTGAACCAATTTGCACTCATAAGGCGATTCCTGAATGAATTAATACTTAAACCTTCAACGTGGTGATTTTTACATGTCTAGGAATGATTACCTCGTTAAGCGAGGTAATCATTATATTGGAATTTACATTTCTGCGAATGGGGCAAAAGCCTGCCGGCTTCCCCTTAAATAATTAAACTAGCCTGTCATCTTAATCCCAAAACTACTTAATAAATTAACCACTTATCCTGAATTTTGAAGTACATGGAGACATGACAAGGGGGCGATCTGCAGGTTTTCCAACGGTCGGCGGCAAGAGACAAGACGCGAAGACGGAGGAGAGCTCGGTTCCGTAGCTCCTTGACGTTTCTCGAAAAAAGGCAAGCGGCAGACCGAAGGAGGCGCGCCAATCGCAAGGCCAGCGATTTAGTTGTGTGGCACTATATAAAATAGTGGCGCTGAGCGTCACAATTTTTAAAAACCAGAATGATTCTAATTTAAATATCTAGTAAACTGTGAGAATAGAAATTTTCTTTGTAGTTCTTTTAACTGTTTTATGATTTAGAACGTCTAGGCTTCAAGGACTTTTAATATAAAATAAATATTTGGTTATCTTGAAACATTTGAAACACTGTGTTTTTCCAATGAAGAATTGTAACTTAATGTACAACTCGACCTATACTCTCATTTAAGATTTAATGCCGACTCTTTGTGGACTGCTTGGACTTAATTACATGTTTTATGGAGACTGGAACATCTTTAGGTATGTACTTAAGTAAGTTGGTAAGTCTTCTATCATCCGTTATGCAGAAGAGGATAGGATATACCTGAACAGTAGGAAAATGAATTCTGAAAAACTGTAATTGCCTTAAATTAGCAGAAAATACAAATAAAACAGTCTTCAATAACTATTCAATATATTTTACACTTCCACTTACTAAAATGAGCCAAACGACAGTAGACATATTTTTTTTTTTTGTTTTGCCTTAAGATTTCTACAGTCACCTTCTAGTATCTAGGACCATTTCAGGACTAAGAGAACAAAAATTGCATCACTAAAATAAATTAATCACAATTTACTAAAAAATGTCGAGGTATATTTCAAGTTTACATCAAAACTCATCTTCAGCCTCTAGTAACAACATATCAAGTAAATAATATACATAAGTAAATAATATAACAACATATCAAGTAAATAATATTTACTTGATATGTTTTACTAGAGGCTGAAGATGAGTTTTGATGTAAACTTGAAATATACCTCGACATTTTTTAGTAAATTGTGATTAATTTATTTTAGTGATGAGTAACCGACAACCTAAGCATAACATGAATAATGCCATCACGAAGGAAAAAACATACTGGAATGAAAAAATTGCATCCTTGATTTGATAGATACCATTCATCAATGAAAGTTAGGAAACAAATCCAGATAGGCAAAATTTAAGTTGGATTTATTTATTTCATTAAATTATTATCTAAATTACTATTATCACTTACTCTTACTTACTCTTACTCCCAGGGTCATGCATATCTAAGAAGATATTTGGCCGCACCAACAAAGCCTCTCCATCTTGCTCTATCCTCTGCATCCTCCTCAGTTGCTCCTAGTTGCTCCATGTCTTTCTTTACTTGGCTCCACCATTTTTGTTTTGGCCTTCCTCTCGGTCGTCTTCCTTCGGGATTTCTTGGTAAAACTAATTTTAACTTATTTTGCTCCTCTCTTCGTAAAACATGTCCAGCCCATCTAACTCTTCTACACTTAAATTCACACACCACATCTGGATCTCTGTAGAGTTCTCTCAGTTCTCTGTTGTGTCTCTTCCTCCATTCACCACCTTCATAAATTGGTCCATAGATTTTTCTTAAAATCTTATTTTCGAATGTTATTAACTTCTTTTCTTCTTTTTTATTTGGTTTCCATGTTTCAGCTCCATATAATAATACTGGGCTGATTATTGTCTTATAAATTCTAACTTTGGTGTTTTTAGACAGTAACTTAGAGGACATCAGTCTGTTGCAAGCGTAGAAACATCTGTTTGCCAGATTTAGTCTATTTTGAATTTCTATTTCTTCTTTGTTTTCCCTGGATAAGATAACCCCTAAGTACTTAAAATGTTCTACTTTTTCAAATTTATGGTCATCTACCTGCAGTGGGTCTTGGGCTATACCTTGATTTCTTGAAAATTGCATATGGTTTTCCCATCATTTACTTTTAGTCATAATTGTCCTGTTTTGTCCATAAATACTTTTGTTAGTTGGCGTAGGTCCTCTAAAGTTTCTGCAAAAATGACGACATCGTCTGCAAACGCTAATATGTTAATTCTGGAGCCAATTGAAATTCCCTTATCTATTGTTGCCACTTCTTGTAGAGCTTCTTCTATTGCTAGGTTGAAGAGGATTGTGGAGAGCCCATCCCCTTGCCTTACCCCTGCATTTGACTCCCCCATTTACTTTTACTGAACATGTGGAATTTGCTACAGTTGTTCTAGCAAGGTTTATAAGTTTGGTTGGGATTCCAAATTCGTCCATCTTTTTCCACAGTTTCTCTCTATTTATGCTATCATACGCTTTTTGGAAATCAATAAATATTGCAAAAAACTCCCTATTAAACTCCCAGTACTTCGATATGACTTCTTTAAGGATAAATATTTGATTCATTGTGGACCTGCCTTTCATGAAACCAGCCTGATGATCTAGGATTAGTTCATTTGTATATTCTTCGATCCGATTTAATACTATCTTTGATGAAACTTTGTACGGTATGCTAAGGAGTGATATGCCTCTAAAATTACTACATTCTTCTTTCTCTCCTTTCTTGTGAATGGGGACTACTATTGCTTCCCTCCATTCTTCTGGAATTTCTTCTCTCTCCCAGATTATTTTAATCAGTTCCCAAAGCTTTCCTATTACTACTCCCCCTCCCTTCTTCAGTATTTCTGCTGCTATCCCATCTCTGCGCGGGGCTTTATTGCTCTTTAGAGCTTTGACTGCTGCTTCGACTTCTTCTCTGGTTGGTGCCTCAACCTTTGGTTGAACGTGATAGTATACGTCATCATTATCTTCTTCTGGTGCAAAGTCCACACCATCTACATTTAGTAAGTCGCAGAAATATTCTCTCCATCTTTCTATAACCTGTTGGGTTTCTGTAACAACAATGCCTCCTTTGTTTTTCACTCCATAAGGGTTTGGAGTGTAACCTTTTTTGAAAAACCTTACTTTTTTGTAAAAATCTCGTGCATTATTTGCTGTGCTCTTCTTCTGCTTTTTCAATCAGGCTATTTATGTACCTTCTTTTCTTCTGTCTCAATATTCTGTTTGTTTCTCTACTTATTTCATTGTATTGTTGTTTATCTTCTGTGGACTGGCTGCACAACCATGCCCTTTTCTTCTCCTTTCGCTCTATTACCTTTGTTTCACATTCCTCATCAAACCAGGGTTTTTTGTTGGTTCTTTTCTTTTTCCCACACACTTCTTTCACTGTTTTTATTATGCTTTCCTTAAACACACTCCAGTTTTTATTTACATCCTTTTCTACTTGGAGGTTTTGTAAATCTTGGAATCTGTTTTCTAGTTTCAGCTTGAATTCTCTTGTTACCTGTTTGACTTCTAGCTTTTCTGTGTCAATATGTAAATTATATATTTCTTCCTTTCTTTTATGTATTGCGATTCTTTGGGCTACCTTAACTAACATTAAAGAGTGATCTGTTCCGCATTCTGCTCCCCTTATACTTTTTATATCTGTTATGCTGCTTTTGTGACGTTGGTATACTAGGACATGGTCTATTTGATTTCTAGTGGTTCCATTAGGGGATGTCCATGTGTACTTGTGTATATCTTTCCTAGGGAACATAGTACTCGCTATTTTGAAATTTTTGGCAAGGGCAAAACTTGCAAGTCTAGACCCATTATCGTTTGAGTTTACATGAAGGCTCTCTTTCCCTATAGCTGGTTTCCATATGTCCTCTCTGCCTACTTTTGCATTGGCATCACCCAGAACGATTTTCATGTTGGTAACTTTTCCACCTGTTCTTCCAGACGTTCATAGAAACCATCTTTATCATCATCTTCTGCTTCTTCTGTGGGTGCATAGAAGCTGACTAGAGATATATTCTTAAACTTTCCTCTTAACCTAATATTGCACATTCTGTTATCTTTGGCTTCAAAATGTATCACAGACTCAGCAATTTTCTTATTTACAGGAAAACCTACTCCTCCATAATAAATATTATCTTCACAACCACTATAGTAAATAAGGTAATTCTTAGTATTAATCCTTCCTGCTAAGGGCCACCGCGTATCTTGCAACGCTACAACGTCCAAATTATATTTTTCTAACTCCTGCGCTAGAATATCACTAGCTCCAGGTATTGCTAGGCTTTTTATGTTTCATGTACCAAAACGCAATAATTGAGGGCATTTCCGAGTCATTATCCCTTTATTCCGTCCAGTTTCCGAGGCTTTTTGTTGGCGATACGTAACAGATGTGTTTTGCAGGGCGGGTTGTCAGCCCAGCGCCCAACCCCCACCCTGGAGGACCAGGGGTTTAATTTCGGAGTCACCTTCTCCTAGGTTTGTGGCTTCCACTGCAGCTTTAAGATTCAAACCTAACCTCGGTGTTAAATCAGTTTCCTTCTCCTAGCCTTTGGGTACCCAAACCCTATCGCACAAGGCAGTGCGGGCAGTGCTTATATAATGGCGGCACTTCCTCACCATGACACAGCACTATCTTCGGGCTCATGTGGATTTTGTTGAGTGTGATCCCGCCACAGATCACCCTCCCACGCCCTCTGGTGCTGCCATTATTACATTGTATTATAATTACTATTACTGAGCATACAAACATAGACAAATAGAATAAATATAGACTGTCAAAGGAAGCTTCCAGCGCCCACCGCTAGGAGTGCCGTGTAGTTACGGCACACACCGCTGCAGGCAAGGAGCGTAGGAGCTGTATGCTTTCAGCAGGTGCTGCAGCGGTGTCCGCCGTAACTACACTACACTCCTAGCGGTGGACGCCGGAACATATGATAACCGCAGCACTGCTGCCGGTCTATATTCATTCTATTTGTCTATGATACAAATCAGCACTAACATACAAGAATGAAATTTGATTTTTTGTACCCTAACAGCTAACAAGTTTTGGAATGATGATGATGATGATTTTAGTTGAATTGTGACATTGATTAAGTGTACAGTTGAGGAACTTGTCAACTTTTAACCCAGCCATAACTGAAAGAAACTTTATAGTGCCACATAAATAATTTTAGTATTTAAAAAATAGCAAGCAATAGAATTTTGAGAGTAGCACACTCTTTAAACGCCTCATGTCCAACATGTTCTTTCTGTAGTAAATACTGTATTGGCTACAGCAGCTGCTGGTCCACATGACCCAACGTGATGGGGTGTCTACTCCAGTATTATAAAATCAATGGTTTTAAAATTGCACTCTTTTTCCTCTTCCCAAAAATCTAAACTATTCAGCATCTCACTATTCCTCAAGTAACTTCCTTTTTACCAGCTTGCAGTTTTCCCACCTTATGAGAATTTTGAGACGGAAACGATCATCACGATCCCTAAGAACGAACATTCGTACATCAAGCTGAACCCGAGTTTGATTCATGCTGAAGACAGCCTCAGATCAATACTTATTGAAGACAGGGAATGTGTGTTTGAAGACGAGGTTCGACTTGACTATTTCAACTACTACACTCAGCCAATATGCCGCATGGAGTGCTACTTACAACACGCTCTCCCCAGTTGTGGCTGTGTTATATTCTCTGCTCGCCGTGAGTAATATAGTTTCACCATTGTTTTGTCTTAAAATACTGACTAGATCAATCAAGGAATCAATAATATTTTTTCATAATTTATAATTTATCATAAATGATGGTAAGATTAGTAAGTAGTGGTACCGCGAGCCCTACTGTATGTATAGTTTAGGCCGACCATTCTACCAATACATTTCTTTTGCAATTTTAATTTGCTGTAATATGTTGTTTTAGCTATTTCTTTGTTTTATTCCTGTACATATCATAATGTATGTACTTACTTTTATTTAAAGCAAAGTACCCGTCCTTCGTACGGGGTTAGCGTGTAAGTATTAAATGCCTATTGCAGTTATACTCGTGCTTTGCGTTTGCAATAGGGACACGGTTTGAGAAAATTTGGTTCTTTTTAATTTACAGTATGCTATAGTATAGCACAGCACATCTACCATAGTGTACCGATTTTGTTGCAAAAAGCAACAAATCAATACAAGTTAACGCGAAGAACAGTCAGCTGTTTTGAACAATAGATCAGTATAGACCAGAATGCACCACGCACTAAAGGAGTAGAGGGGATAAGGTCTAGTCGGATGGTCATTTGCTTCCAGCAGTATCTGTTCCTTTCCAAATCTCAACGTAACTAGTTCGGTAAAACTTTCGTTTGTGCAAATTAAATTCATCTCGCGGCGTTTGGTCGGACAATCTCAAATTTCCTTAAAGTCGTTCAGCCTATATCCCTAAGGGATATAATTGCCTCGCGATCGGAAATTAGAATTTGTGTTGTTGTCAAAAAGTGCAAAAGTTCGTTACCGGCCAAACGCGGTCCGCCATTTGAAAATTTCTCAAACGTTCACACGAGTTTCAATTGATCGCGTCTTGTAGAATACCGACTAGTTACATTTCCTCATCCTGATCCCTTTGTTTGTGTTATATTTGTGGACGTCCAAACTGTAAGTAATTTGTGTTATTTATTTGTTATATATTTAAATTTCAGTGAGTCGCATACTTTGTAAATTTTCCTGTCTTGTCTTGTTAATTCATGTAGAATAAGCACATGTTCCCCGGTTCGATCCCAATTCGCTGATTTTCATATCCATTCATATTGTAACAATCCTCTTTATTTATTAGACTGTGGTAATACAATAGCATTAAGAATAAATAGATGAAAATGTTTTTATAGGGTAATTCAGAGTTGCTTTGTAATATTTTTATATAGTATTTGAATTTTGCACAGAGTCATTATTAAAGGTACAATTCGTCAAAGAGTGTCACAATCAGTATTTAAATTTGGGGGAATCAATTAATATCAAAGGAGGGATTAGGTAGCTGGTTCGGCTGAATCCGGAAGTGTTATCGGAGGCTGTGCCAGTTTGCATATCGACGAACCGCCAAAGTGCCAAATTAGCCATAAAACAATAAGCGACGTTCCAGTAAATATTATTACGATTAAACGCAATACTGTTTAATCAGTTGACCTTCGAGAATCGACCTTCATATTTACATCGTTGGCCAACGAACAGGACTTGCTTGGCACTGGTCATCTCAAATTAAATTAAAAACCACTCCTCCGTTGACACCTTCGAGATCGGTGTGAAACCGCGCCAAATATTCCCCTTTGATAAATCCATTCAACGTTCTCAAACAAAACAATTCAGTCTGATTGTATCACTCACGGTCATATTTTATATTACATCACACAATCAGAAATTGTCAAACCGAAATCATTGTAAATCTTAAATACTGCTTAATAAATCAAATTGTTACTCACTTTTTAGTTCTCAATAACCTTGGTAATTCAGTATATGCAATAGTATCTAATTGGTAAACAAAAGGTAATTCAGTAAATCATAAGCCACTACAAAAGATTCACCTTTTAAGTGCAACACTAAACACTAGTGTAGTAGTGAGCAAGTAAATTCAGTGTAGAATTAAGACTGGTAAATTGCTCTCATTAAAGGTATTACATTTTTGGAAGAACCATAACAGTACCAAGGGCGTCCCCTAAGGACCTTTGGGGAATATTTATATTTTGCAGGGCCCACACATATTTTTTATAACATCAAGCTTCCACTGCCAAAAGCTCTGTCTGATATTTTTATTTTCTAGAGTTCTTCCAACCTAGGGGCAACCAACATTTGTAAATAATTCATTAAAGAGCATTGCAAGGAGTAAATATATTTAAATACAGTAGAGTCCCGCAAACTCGGCGTAATGTGGACTGGAAGGGTGCCGAGTTTGTGAAATGCCGGGTTATTGGGAACTAGGGTTAAAAAGTAAGAACAATAAAATTTTTAAGCTTTTTAACTGTCTCTTTTATTTATATTTATATTACAAGTTAGTAATAAGTCATCAGATATAGTACAACATATCCTTAGTACGAGCTGCGAATGATTTGACTTTTGCTGGCTTGAGTACATGTTTAACTCGGAATCAAAAATCACTAATTTTCTGAGCCAGGTGATGGCCGAGTTATCCAGACTGCCGGGTTATCGAGTGCCGAGTTAGCGGGACTCGACTGTACAATATTTAAATATATAAAAGTAGTAGAAAGGGGAAACCCTTTTCCTTTTTTCTTTTTTTTCTTTACAATAGCCATTATGTTCTAGCACTTCACCTAAACAATAAATATAAGTTAGATTCTCATTTTTCACAGCTTTTTTATGCTAGTTGGTTCAAATTAGATGTTGTCATTTATGCAAAAAAAATAATAGTGCTTGTACCCTGTTGGTAAACCTTAACTTAACGTAACTTTTTAATGCTACTTACTATCACAGAACCAACTTGTGAAGTTGAAACAGCTGACAAAATTCTGCTATTTCTTTTAAATGAATACTTATAAGGTTAACATGGGATTTTAAATATGAGCTCAAAAGGATTTTTAAGATAAGAATGTGTACATATGTTAATCGGGAATGTGAGCTATCATCACACCAAATTTCAGCCCAACCCAACCAGTGTTTTTCGCTTTTACTTGTCACAAACATCCATACATCCAAACTTTCTCACTTATAGTAGGATTCAAGCAAAATCTTGGATTATTATTTGTGAGAAATAATATAAAATAAGACAATAATAATTTTTTTATTCCAGGAATACTTGGAACATTTAATCACCCCTACTGCAATGAGTCCCAATATGGTTGTCTGTCAAAAGAGCTAAGTAAGTATACATAAATGTATTACAAAATTACTTAAGTAGGATTTTAAAATACTTATTTATTTAATTATATTCACAATTCACATGTTTTACAACTAAAGTGTATTACTGTACATCATAATCAATTGTTGCATTTTTAAATTTATTCATTAAAAAAAACACAATAAAATCTGAGACAGTAGCCGACACTGCAACAGAAAACCACTTGTAACTTTGATATGAAACCATTTTATTCACTTAAGTATTAAGATATAATTTTTAAATCTCACTGTCAACCAATTTATTCTATTTTCAGGTAACTTACTCATCACACCACTGGTCAAACCCAAACAGGTAGGTGGTTATGACAAGTGTGCGTGTGTACCAGCTTGTTCTTCTTTAAGATACGACTTACAAACAAGCTATCAACAGATCATCACCCCAACTACACTACCTCTGTGGGCAGACGACTACAATGAAAGCGCAGAGTAAGTATTTTCATTATATTGAATTTTAGCCTCCTGATCGCATTTAAGTAGGCTACTATAAATTGGTGTAAATTACCTACAATTATGCAATCCCAGTCAAGATGTCTTGTCGCTTCATATAAAGGTCGTTATTTGATAATAAATAAAAAATCATTGATAATAAAGACACGCACATTCACACATTTAAACCTGAACAGTGATCATTTACCTTAAATAATATGGGCGTTGAGGGCCGACACCGTCGCCTGCTTGATCGCCCAAGCTCATTCCTCTCGACTTCTTCCTTTGGTTCACAATGAAACAATTTGTAGTACACCTGAAGAGAGTAAGATGGACTTAGTAGCTCGAGTGGTTGAGGCAGCCACGATAATAAAAGAAGATGACCAAGGCTTTGGACAAGTTCTTAGATCCATGATTGATCGGTTTGTATTATGCAACCGGGTTGACAGTCGTCATTTTGAACAGTTTGTTGTAAGTAAAGGAGTCCTAAGCGTTGAAGGAAATGTTTTAGTAAAATCCAGTCAGGCAAATTAAGGAAATTTGCTTAGTATGCAGGTTAGATGTGGCAAAAGTATTTTTTATCAAACTTGTTGTGATTCTATTCGTTCAAAAACACAAAACACAACACATCACAATCTTGAGTTGTATTTTGTTGGTTTATGAACATATTTTGATCATCAAATACCATATTATATTAACACTTTTTTACCCTTCTGTTGTAGCAAAGATAAGTACTCGTTAAACAAATACCTAATGCTATTTAAATTTGGGAATAAATGTGATATTTCTAAGGAGACATTTTAGTGTAAATCCAATCAGGAAAATGGAAATTCACTTAGTCTGCAGGTTTTCTGCAGGGGTATTAATAGGTAATCTCTGGTGATTTTTATTATACAGGGTGACAATTAAGTCTTAGGACGACTTTATAACTTTTAAACGACAAACGATATCACAACCACATTTGGTATAGCCTACCGTTACTGGAAATTGTAAGCTACTTTTCTGTGTAAATGGTGGTCGGATATCACCTTTGGGGGACGGCCCGTCGGGGGTCAGAAGAAAATCTTTAATGACAGCCTATGTTGAGTTGTACATCATTTTAAAGGTCTACTTCAACTGAAAACAATGCCGCAAACCGCACTTCAAAAGGTTGATCCTGCGCAAAATGGCAGATGTTCAAAGATTTTGAAAATTAGCCAATTTCTTTAAATTAAAACACTTTTTTAAATCTTTAAACAACTGTCATTTTTTAACGGATGGTCCTTTTGAAGTACGGTTTGCGGCATTTTTCTTTGCTTAAAATTCCCTTTAAAATGATCCCCATAACTTCACATTCAGTGATCCAAATAACTCTTCAGGGCGACGGCCCACAAGGAGTCGGAAGTAAATCTTGAATGGAAGCATAGGTCGATATGCACATCAAATTAAAGGTATTTATTTGTAGAATACAATGCCGCAAACCGTACTTCAAAAGGACCACCCGTTAAAATATGACAGTTGTTTAAAGATTTAAAAAAGTGTTTTAATTTAAAGAAATTGGCTAATTTTGAAAATCTTTGAACATCTGCCATTTTGCGCAGGATCAGCCTTTTGAAGTGCGGTTTGCGGCATTGTTTTCAGTTGAAGTAGACCTTTAAAATGATGTACAACTCAACATAGGCTGTCATTAAAGATTTTCTTCTGACCCCCGACGGGCCGTCCCCCAAAGGTGATATCCGACCACCATGTACACAGAAAAGTAGTTTACAATTTCCAGTAACGGTATACCAAATTTGGTTGTGATATCGTTTGTCGTTTAAAAGTTATAAAGTCGTCCTAAGACTTAATTGTCACCCTGTATATTACTTTGTCCATTTTAAATTCTGGTTTTAATTTTTCAGAGAAGATTTTGCACGGGTGTCAGTATTCTTTCACGAACAACAATTCAGTACCATCGATCGTAAAAGGACATCTACCCTTGGAAATTTCCTTGGTCAGTATACAATGGTAGCCCTACAAGTTGCATTTTTTTATGTAAAACTATTTTTTTTATTTTAACATTTATTTTGTAAACAATGCAGCCATAATGTCATTTTCTTGAAATGTAAATTTAAATAATTTTTAAAGTTTATTATTTTGTGATTATGATGAAATGGATATAACAATATATTGAACATTAAGGTGTATTTTGTTGTAATGAACTCATCACTGCAACAACTTTTAGAGAATACTAGGTGAAACCCGTCGAAATCGACGGTTACTTTCAAGGCTTACATTAATTCATCTAACTTCGATAAATTAGGTGTCATATATATTTTGAGCATTTAGCATTGTTTAAAGAGTAATAAGTGTAAAAACAATAATAATATTAATTGCGTTAGTTGTTAAATTTGGTTGATCATTCAAATGCTTAAAATATTCCCCATACCGTACGTCATCATGTTGAAAGGAAAATTTCCTCCATGGTACGTTATTGGAGTTATTATTAGTATGTTATATGGTATCTCTTCCTTTGGAAGAACCTTTAAATAGTATTAAAATCGTATTGGTGGATCTTTTCTAGTTAAACACTTCCGTGATTTCATTAGTGTAATATGATTTTATTTCAAAAGGAAATATTTTTTGGAAAGAAATAATTCTAACTTTAAAGGGAGGTATATCCGTTACAGTGTAAGACTGATTTTTCCTTCGTCACGTCACGTCAGTCCATATCGTACTTCTGTGTCAATGAATGAACCCTCTAACATAGTTTTGAGAAATTCATTGTGGGGTTACTGGTAAAGCTGGAATTCCTTGACATGGGGGATGTCAGTTAGTTGTCTCAGCCTTATCAATAACATAAAGTTGTCAATATAATCTCTCTACGGAATGTTAGGTGTAGTGGAATACTTGAAGTGAAGTTGGCTTTTATTCTTGAACTGTTAAGGGGCCTCCGCTAGTTCATATGGTCTTGGGGCTTCATTGGCAACAAATAATGCAAATGACACAGCAATGGGACATTTCCAAAAAGCAAAAATACTGTAAATTGGCTGTTACGTATATATTGACGTTTACATATTGTTAATCAACGTATCTTATTAAGGATTATGAGATCTAGTTTAAAAGGAATATGAAGTTTCTGTTATGACAGTAAAGCTGCTTAAATAGTATTTTCTCTTTGTACCATATTTTACAACCAAAATGTTGTGTTATTTTCAATAATATTACCAACCCAGTGCGCCAAAGTTCGTAATATAGGCAGGTGCAAATAATTTGTCAAGATGGGTGCCATTTTAGGCAAGGTTTCTATGTATGGATTTTATTAGACACGATAAGAGCATATATTTCTACATAAATATTTGATATGTGTAGAATAATATAATAAAATGTAGGCAAAAGTGGTGAAAAAGGCAGACACCAACCCGTACAATAGATATAAAATAATTCAATAAGAAATAATGTAAGAATTGCTGTGATAAAAAATGTTCCACTGATTTCGTATTGGAACGTTATATTGCAAAACATGACACGATAAAGAAGAAAATCAATTTTAAAATCAGAAAATAACATTGCAAATATGTATTTGGTAGAATCTTTGACTATTAATATAGTAAATGGTAGAATTCAGTAACTCCCAATAAATGTGTGTTGTTTGAAATACAGTTTGCAAATGAACAGCTGTTTCATTAAAAAGTATTATTCACATGGTCAAAATGTAAACAACTCTGTGGAGAGATCTTTAAAGGCTTCTAGGGCAGAGTCCTAAGGGATTTTGCTTAGTTTTTCTTTTGATAACTCATCTACATACCAAGACCTTTCTTTGGACACCTCTACCAAGTTTCTACGCCCAGCCGTTCTCTCAAATTAGTGGGGACAAAGTTGCCAATTAAATATTTAGATTCCCCCATGTTAATCTTATGGGTGAAACTCCAACTTTGATGGACTGTGGGGCAAATCCCGAGGATTTTTATTACAGGAATTGGTGAAAGGGGGCATCTACACAACAAATACTCTATTTTGACACGTCGTTTGTAAAAATCCGTCCATTATTAACGGAGGAGTAGTGTTTTGTAGAAATCGCCTTCACGTATTATATATAAGGATTTTTCATCACAAGACAATGATTTGATTGGTTGGCAGTTGTCACAGGAAAGCTTGTAATTTTCATTTGAAAATAAGTAGCACATATATAAGTTTTTTTTTTAAGTTTAATTATTTTCCAGGAAGTTGCGGTGGACTTCTGGGATTGTTTCTTGGGTTCAGCTTCATGAGTCTGTTTGAAATAATTTATTTTGCCTTAATTCGACCAGTTAATAGATTAATCACCTCCTACATTCAGAACCGTTAAAATGCACTTTTGTTGGCAATAAAAAATATGTGTACTTCAATGTAAGTAAATAGATTATGTAATAACTGAATCTGTTGTTTTCATTCTAAACATTTTCATACCACTTTACTATAATTTGAGTAATGATGTCCAAACCTTATCACATTTTGGGCAACTAAGAACAAATTTGTATAGTGCTTCTTAATGGACGGTTATTAACAGCAGTGTAATCTTTTGTGTTCAGAGCCATTAGAAAATAATCGTCAAATATCGTTACTCGCCTGTTGTTAATTAAGCGTTGCCATCACACTTCTAAAAGAATAAAGCTATGCTTGGAATGTGAAAAAGTTTGTAATATCAGGGTTGAAAATATCAGATTACAAAATTTTGTTGTGAAAAACGCTATGTCAAACATTATGCATGTATTGATGCATTGCAGTCAACAATTTTGACTGTTAGTTGACTTTTCTGTGAACCAATTAACCTTTTAATCGATGATGTTTAATATTCTTTACAATTGCTAAGAAGTACAGGAGTTATTTATTAACAAATAACTTATTGTTTAACCCTAGCAGTGGCCAATGGTCCTGGCAGGACCATTTCACCGTGCACCCTTAGAATGGCCATGGTCCCGCCGGGACCATTTATGTCCAAACATTTAATTTTAATGCTAAAAACTAATTGATAATTATCTTTAAAGTAGATAGTTCATATACCATTCGAAAGATGGCATTCTAAACTTTCATTTTATTATACAGACTGTCCCAAAAGTCCCGGACCGGTTTAATATTTTCTAAACGACAACAGATAAATCAATAAGATTTTGAACATCAACACCACACTTAAAAATCTACTTTTTTAAGGAACTATAAATTTTCTGTCATATCATGGGGACGTCCCACGAGGAGTCAGAAGGAAATCTTAAATAGGAGCATAGGTCAATATGCACATCAGTTTAAAGGGCTTAGCTAGCTGAGTTCAATGCCGGAAACCGCCCCTCGAAAGGATCACCCGTTACAAAATGGCGGCCGTTCAAAGATTTCTTGAACCTGCCATTTTGAATCTTTGAACGACTGCCATTTTTTACTCAGGCGTTCTTTTGAGCTTGAATTTACGGCATTGTAATCTACTAGTGAAGACCTTTAATTTGATGTGCATATCGACCTATGCTTACATTAAATTTTTTTTTCCGATTCCTAGGGCTGTGCCCCCAAATGCAAATTAAATGAATCTTTGAACCACTGTCATTCTTGACTTGGTTGTCCGTTTGAGTTCAAATTTGCAGCATTATATTCTGCTAGTAAAGACCTTTAATTTGATGTACATGTCAACCTATGCTTCTTTTTAAGATTTCCTTCTGACTCCTTGCGGGACGTCCCCATGATGTGACAGAAAATTTATATTTCCATAAAAAAGTAGATTTTTAGGTGTGGTGTTGATGTACCAAATCTTATTGATTTATCTGTTGTCGTTTAGAAAATATTAAACCGGTCCGGGACTTTTGGGACAGTCTGTATAAACGAACCTTCTAGCGTCAATATGTCAACGCAATTGCAATTTAAATTTGAATGAAAATTTCTGCGCGAATCTACTTCCACTTGTAGTGTTGCGTAAGCGCTAAACACATAAAGTTTAGAAAATCATAGCGAGGTTAGTTTTGTTCCCTATCTGGATGCGAGTTATACCACTAGATAGCAGTAGGGTTGCTGAATATTTTGGCATAGATTATTTTATCAATACATCGATAGCAAAGAACATATGATTTTTAGAAAACACGTAATTTTACAAAAATTAACAAATGGCCAATGGTCTTGCCAGGACCATTTCTAAAGTCGAAATATATATATAATGGAATATTTATAACTATTCAAATATAATATCCTTTTGTAGCGTAGGAAACGTAGAATAATTTAGTGTTGAGAAATGGCAGCCCTGCTCACTGTAATTTCTGTGTTCTGTCAGCAACAAAAGAAAATCGCCATCTGACCGAGTTACTCTGTTTGTTTTGTGCGGATCAGCTGACTTACGTTTTGAAGGTAAATATTGTTCGTCAAATATCTTGGGAATCATTCTAATTTTGGATTTTGTAGTTATGTAGTGTTTTTTGTTAGTAATGTTTTTGTGTTTTAGGCCTAACAGTAATCTTTATGCATGAATATAAGCCTACTGGAAAGTCTGAATTTCTTTTTACAGAAACAGTAAATTTTTAGTTTTTTTTGTATCATAAACGGGTAATCAAAATTTTTTCACTGCCTACAATGTGACATATTTGTATTCCTTAGTTTATAACCTACAAGAATATGTGTACTATATTATTATCACTAATTACCTTACATGAGCTATCTCCGAGTTACTAATTATTCGTCTTACGTGACAAACCATGCGATTTTTCGTATTTTCTTTAGGGATGGACGGGATTGAATTTTTAGTTCGGGACGGGACGATCGTCGGTATGACTTCGCGGTCACGGGTTGATCATCGGTATGACTCGCGGTCACAGCGCGATCGTCGTTACGTCTCCGCGGTCACGGGGTGATCGTCGGTATGACTCGCGGTCACGGCGTGATCGTCGGTATGACTCGCGGTCACGGCGTGATCGTCGGTATGACTCGCGGTCACGGCGTGATCGTCGGTATGACTCGCGGTCACGGGGTGATCGTCGGTATGACTCGCGGTCACGGGGTGATCGTCGGTATGACTCGTGGTCATAGCGTGATCGTCGGTATGACTCCGCGGTAACGTCATAATCGTCGGTATGAATCCGCGGTCACGGCGCGATCGTCGGTATGACTCCGCGGTCACGGCGCGATCGTCGGTATGACTCCGCGGACACAAGGTGATCGTCGGTATGACTCGCGGTCACGGCGTGATCGTCGGTATGACTCTGCGGTCACGGCGCGATCGTTGGTATGACTCGCGATCACGGCATGATCGTCGGTATGACTCTGCGGTCACGGGACGATCGTCGGTATGACTCCGCGGTCACGGGGTGATCGTCGGTATGACTCGCGGTCACAGCGCGATCGTCGTTATGACGTCGCCTCCTGCGTTCGCGGAACATCTCTCGCGATAGCGGCGTTATCGTCACTCGCGAAGCGGCAAAATCGCCGACGATCGGACCAAATCCCGTCCCTTTTTCCCGAAAATTTCCCGAAATTTTGGGACCCGTCCATGCCTAATTTTCTTACATAACAAATGTAAATAAAAATAATTCCTCCATGTGTTAACATTTCTATAAAGAGAATTAAATGTACTATAACATTTTTATAATCTGTTTGGCCTAAAAAAAACTGAACAAAATTTTTTTACTAAAATGTCTTTGAATTTTTTTTTATGTAATCGGTAAAAATATTTAAAATATTTTTAAAATACTTAAAATATTTAATAAGTTTCCTGTTGAATTCAGCTCTTTGCCTTTAAATGTTTTCTCTGACAAACTGTTAAAGTGGTGTAAAATCAATCCAATGTACAAAATAGATGATTTTTTTGATGTTAAATTCAAAAACAAGGACCTAGATTTTAAAAAGTAACCTTTATTTATATATTCTGTTTGACGAAATCTATTGTTATTTTGTAATTACCGAACGATGAATAAATTGTCTATTGCCTATTGTCTATTTAGTTTTTTGTATCATAAACGGGTAATCAAAATTTTTCTACTTCCTACAATGTGACATATTTGTATTCCTTAGTTTATAACCTACAAGAATATGTGTATTATATTATTATCACTAATTACCTTACATGAGTTATCTCCGAGTTACTAATTATTCGTCTTATGCGACAAAATTTGAATTTTCATTTTCTTACATAACATTTGTAAACAAAAATATTTCATAAAAATGTATAATCTTGTTGTTTTATATTTTTATAAAAAAATATAAAACAATGTTTGTTTCCCATGTTAATCTTATGGAGAAATACAAAACTTTAAAGGGCCCCAGAGCCTCACTCTCTAATTATTTCCCTAAAAAGAAAGTTTCCTGCACAACTTCACGTTACGCTCTTTCCAATGACACAAAAAAAAACATGCCAATCGGTTCAGTAGTTTCGGAGAAGTAATTGTCACAAAAATCCTGCTTGTGTATTAAATAAGTATAGATTTATAGAGAAAAGTAAAAGCATCACAAAATATTCACAGGTTTTATACGTACTAAATAAAGAAATGAGTAGCCTACAGTTTTCTTCCACAAATCCATGCTTGGGTTAACTCTATTTCAGCACCAAGATTGTCTCTAGCAGTCGATCAATCAGTTTATTCTTGGAGCGGATTGGGTTGGTTTCCATACTATAAACATTGGGTACTAAAGGCGCCAATAAAAGCACACTGATTTATTGGCTATCATGAGTAACAGCTCCACTCAGAAACTATTTATGCAAGCACAATGTAAAAAATATAAAACCACAGCATTTTATGAACAAACAAAAATGCTTACATGTTATCTTTCAGTTTTTGTAGTTATGTAGTGTTTTTTGTTAGTAATGTTTTTGTGTTTTAGGCCTAACAGTAATCTTGCATGAATATAAGCCTACTGGAAAGTCTGAATTTCTTTTTACAGAAACAGTAAATTTTTAGTTTTTTTGTATCATAAACGGGTAATCAAAATTTTTTCACTGCCTACAATGTGACATATTTGTATTCGTTAGTTTATAACCTACAAGAATATGTGTATTATATTATTATCACTAATTACCTTACATGAGTTATCTCCGAGTTACTAATTATTCGTCTTATGCGACAAAATTTGAATTTTCTTCATTTTCTTACATAACATTTGTAAAAAAAAATATTTCATAAAAATGTATAATCTTGTTGTTTTATATTTTTATAAAAAAATATAAAACAATGTTTGTTTCCCATGTTAATCTTATGGAGAAATACAAAACTTTAAAGGGCCCCAGAGCCTCACTCTCTAATTATTTCCCTAAAAAGAAAGTTTCCTGCACAACTTCACGTTACGCTCTTTCCAATGACACAAAAAAAAACATGCCAATCGGTTCAGTAGTTTTGGAGAAGTAAATGTCACAAAAATCCTGCTTGTGTATTAAATAAGTATAGATTTATAGAGAAAAGTAAAAGCATCACAAAATATTCACAGGTTTTATACGTACTAAATAAAGAAATGAGTAGCCTACAGTTTTCTTCCACAAATCCATGCTTGGGTTAACTCTATTTCAGCACCAAGATTGTCTCTAGCAGTCGATCAATCAGTTTATTCTTGGAGCGGATTGGGTTGGTTTCCATACTATAAACATTGGGTACTAAAGGCGCCAATAAAAGCACACTGATTTATTGGCTATCATGAGTAACAGCTCCACTCAGAAACTATTTATGCAAGCACAATGTAAAAAATATAAAACCACAGCATTTTATGAACAAACAAAAATGCTTACATGTTATCTTTCAGTAAAAGCTAAAAAACAAGAAATGTACTTGACAACTGATCAGCAACCTGCAATCGACAATAATTGCTTCGGTCAGTGTTTCATATAGCTGCCACTCGACTGAGTTCACACTACGTAAAGGGAGCAGGGAGCTCAGTATATAAAGGTAGTTTAAATTAATCTATTTAAATAACATTGGGTTTAAAAAGTACAGTACCTAGGTTTGCTGCTACAGGTAGGGTAATAAAGTGTGTTATTAAAATAAAATCTAAATAGCTTCTAAAATAAATACAGTAAATTTGCCAAGTTTGGTCAAAATATATCCATAAACAAGCAAACAGTTTACTTATTCGCTATATAAGAATAACATGGGAATTTTAAATTTACTATTTATTAAATTTTCTCGGTAACCAAAAACCGCACAAAAACACTCCTATATACTAAATTATTTGTTTTTAAGCTCTTTCAAATAATGTGAAGAGAAAATTGGGAAATTTTATGTTTTGAGGATGAAAATGAGAAAACCCAATTTTTACCCCATAACACCCCGTTCCCATAGTACGATTATGCTGGTTCACGAACTCATTCAAGCTTATCCCACTCTACGTGCCTTTAAGCCAAATTTCATTAAAATCAGACAAAAATTCCTCAAGTTATCGCGTTCACATGTATATAAATCTATATATAGATATATATATATACTAGCAGAGTACCCGTCCTTCGTACGGGGTTGGCATATAAGTATAAACAACTTATTGCGGTTATACTTCACCTAAACAATAGAGAAAAATACATTTTTTTAAATTCGCAAAATATCACAAATTATTCACAAAATTACAAAAATAAACATAACTGTAAACAATCCTACTTTGACAGTTAGTTTTCATGTTTTTTATTGCTGCTTAGTTCAAATTAGCTGTTTTCAAGAATGCAAAAAAATATAGTCCTGCACCCTGTTGGTAAGTCTTATAACTTTTTAATGCTTTTGCATATCATAGAACCAACTTTTTAGGTTGAAACAGCTGATTAAAATCTTTAATTCCCTTTAAATATGAACTAGTGTACATGTTGCTCGAAATCGAGCAATTGCAAAGAAGTACAGGAGTTACATATATAAACAAATGACTTATTTAAAAACTGATAACAGTAATAATTCCCGATGATTTTAAAAGAGTCAACTAAAAGATTATTAACTAATGGAAATACTTACAATTTACATAACAGTCCTATTCCAGTTTAAAGGGTTAATTTTTAACTAACAAACTGCCCATGGGCGGGAAAAGGTAAGCTTACAATTTAAGTCAACGTAAAAAAGCTGTCAGCTTTTATAATGTACCATACCTAAGTTATTTAGCCAATTTGTAGACAATAAGGTGTAGGCTACTTTAAACTCTACAGAACAGTGTTAGGCAAAAACTGGCAGAACTCTGAAATGGTGTTATTTATCATAGGCATACTCATATGCCAAATCTTCATAATAAAAATTCAATAGTTAATAACTTATATAATTTATTATATCATTGTAATAAATAATCTATCATAAAGTTTAACATGGGGAACTACAGAGCCACTGGGGCGGAGCCCGAAAGGAATTTTGAGATAAGAATATGCCTATATGTTAATCATGAATGTGATCTATCATTATGCCAAATTTCAGCCCAATCCGTCCAGTAGTTAATGCGTGATTGAACTTCAAACAAACAAACAAACAAACACACAAACTTTCACATTTATAATATTAGTAAGATATACAGGGTGACAAAAAAGTCTGGAAACGGTTTAATATCTTTTTAACTAAATCCGTTAGAAAATTCAAACATTTCACATCAACTTACATGTATGAAATCTACTTTTTCCCAAGCATTGTAATTTTTTTACCTCTACCAGGGGACGACACATGAGGAGTAGGTACATAATCTTTAATGTAAGCATAGGTTGATATGCACAGCATTTTAAAGGGTTAGTCAAGTGTGGAGTTCATTGCCGGAAACCGCGTCAAAAAAGGTTCATCCGTTACAAAATGGCAGCTGTCCAAACTTCTTGTGAAATATACCTGCACAGGCCTTAGTATGGGCAAATATACTCGTAATAAACATTAGCTTGAGAGCTTAAACTGAATTTTCAAGTCAACTAGCTCATAGACTAATAGTATTTAATCTTCAAAACAAATTTAACCGGGTTTCAGATTTCCCTGCTTATGTTACGTTTAACATTTAATAGCAACTAAATAGCAACTATTTCAGCACTAACAAATTTATGAATTGTATATGAATTTTGTGGAAACTGGTTTGTGTGTGCAAGAAAACTGCACCGGACATCTTAAGACAATCTTAAAAAAAACTTGTATAAATATATACAAAAAAATATAGTAAGAGAAAATAAATAGCTGATTGCCGGACATTGAAAATTGATTAAATTGTTTTCTCTATGGCAGTGTCACATTTTAAATCATTTTTTGTCAATCAACAGGTTTAATTTATAAACATAGACTACAACATCTACTTTTTCATTTTGTAGCTCTGTATTATGACAATTGTACTTTCTGATTATAATGGTAGGATATAATAGTTTAACTACAGTATTAAAAACCTTATTCATTGAATATAACATTTGATACATACGGATAAGGAAATTGTGATAAGTTGAAGAGGTATTTTGAATAATAACACGTTTTATAATAATAATGTTATATTTACACAAATTAAACGAAGAATTGCATGTTTTAATAAACGATTACAAAGTTGTTGACCAAAACACATCATGTTTTTTTTTGCCCTCGATTTGGCGTCACGACCATTTGGGAAAAATTTTCAACTTTGGAGCACGACAGTGGCAAGCCTGGCGTCGATGGAGTCAGTTGGTTTTAGAGACTAGTTCGGGGTGTACGTCAGGATTGTAGTGCCGGTCGTTTCGAGTTGAAAGGAGGAATTACAAGACTAATAAAGGAAAGATTGTGTTTTTTGTAATTTTGGTGTGTCCATGACCGTACGTAGTCATTCGATGAAGTAGACATGGTGTTAATTTTTGTTTATAAGATATTTCAATTGCTAGATTAACCTAGAAGTCCACTTTGTATCCTCGAACATGAGGTGCAGGGCTACCGCCAGAACAGAGCCAAATAACACGTAATTTCACGACCAAAGTTTCACGACCATCGCGGTTTTTTTCACGACCAATCCAGCCTTATGGATTATAGTGTGTTTGGTCGTGACAATAACTTTAATATAATTGTAATTTGAACAATTTTGGTCAATTGAAACACTTATTTTTATTATAACTAACAGTATAATTGAAGTATTGCTAGGAAAGATTTAGATTATTTCAGAAAATTCACGACCGTACCGCTTGTCCCTGACCATCACGTTTATGATTTCTATCATAAAAATTTCAAAAATTAAAATATCGTCATATTTCAATGTTTTATACACAAAAGAAGCACACCTCTATACAAACATAACGATTTTTCGGGTCTCAGGTAAGTTTTTTCGGAGTTATACAAACTTAAAAAGATTTTATTGGCTTTTTTCAAGTTTTTGAGTTTTTGTTATTTTTTTCTAGAAAGACCAAATATACCAAAAGCTCAGTGACCTTTTTATTGTATAATGGTCATAAAAGTAAATTAGTTTATAGCAAAACATAGCTATAAAAATAATATTAACTATTTTTAATATTCATTTAAAAGTCTGTTATATGGTCGTGACAGGATTTTGTGTTTTTCCACTAAAGATGCTCTTTTTTTTAAAAAATACCAAAGATATTGCGTTACCATGGACATTTTATGAAACTTCAAATGTTAGTGAAATAAAAATAATAATAAAAGTTTTGAAAACAGGGGAAAAAATTTTGCAAAGTGCTTTTCCTGAAAACGTACGTTTTTAAATTTTCACTCTAATATCAAACAATGATTGCAACAATTTGTCACTCAGATGTTAGGCCTACAAAAAAATGTAAAATACAAAACAATTTGTACTAAACATAAAAGAATAATGGGTCAACAAAAAACCAATAACTTAAGTTGGGTACAAAAATAAAGACATCCAAGCATAAATTAAAGGCTAACTTCTGAGAAATAGGCTAAATATTTTACTTATTTGTGCTTAGCAATTCTTGTACTATTTTGTAGGTTCTATTTATTTTACATAAATAAATAAATAAATGCAGCCTGGGTTTGAGATTTTTAATCAGCCTATTGAGAAAAAAATACATAAGAAATCACCGTAGGCCTATAGCTTACTTTATTAAGTTTGAATAACTTTACAATAATAGCCTACAATTATCACAGAGGTTTTGTGCTTAAAACACAAAAATATTAAGACATTAAAATTATATAGATATATCTTGTGCCAGCATATTGAACGTTTCTTTAATCTTACCTCAACTCAATTACTTTTCAACTTTTGCAGGTGCTTTCTTTCCATATAAACTGTCAAGTAAAAGTCCAGTAAATACAATAAAAGTTGCTATCCATTGCCTGTTTGACATGGAGTTTCCAAAGAACAATATAGAACCGAAGACTGTGAAGAACTTCCTGGTTGTAGTAACAATTGAGCAAGGTAGAGGTCCAAAATGTTCCACCATCAAAAATATAAAAAGCTGTCCTTGTGCACTTGCAATTGAGAAGGAAATCAGTTCCCAAATAATACTCGGGTGCCTCTCTACAAAGCTAACAAAATCAAAAATCTCACCAGTATATGCAATAGCAATTCCAAGTCCGAGGATTGACCATTTGTTTATGCTAGACATCATATGAAGAGATTTAGTTTTATATTCCGCTCTCATTCTTTCTTGAATAGCTCCGGTTATTCCGTCCATTGTTAAGGACAGTATAAGCAACATTTCACCTATTCCTATAGAACCAGACGAATTGGCAGAAGAATGTCCATCCTTATACATGAAGAGAGCAACTCCGATAACAACAAGCAGTACAAAAAAGTATTTCTGAATAGGATACGACTTTCTTCCTAGAAGTACTCCTAATATCATTACTGGTATGGGTTTTCCAGATTTCCCTATAACCTGAGTTGGGTAGCTTACCCATTGTAAGGCCATATTACTGCAGACCATTGCAAGAAGATAGGTTAGTGCTGAAGAGCACAGGTAGAAACTTGAGGTTAGATTCTCACCTTGCTTCATAAATGTTCTAAGAAGAAAATGTGCATATAGCCAGTTGGTTATGCATTGAACGAACACCAAAGCTAACACACATTTGAATTTTTCTTGCGTTTCTGGGGTCGAACCGTAAACACCTCTTGTAATACGTTCTTGGATAATGCCATAGTAAAAGTAACACACAAATATTCCTCCTGCATAAAAGAACAATTTAAAATGCTTATCCATTTTATACCAAGAGTCCTGTTGCGTTTGCTAAAGCACAATACACACACAATACAAAACTTGCAACTACAGCATTTTTAACACACAAAAACAACAAGATTCCACGAATACAATAACAACAGACGGCAAGCGTGCCAGGTTGTCAACAATTTCTGTAAGCAGACCAGCACTCAGCAGACGATTAGGAGAAGAATAAAGACACGTCAGTCGTAATCCAGTCAGCTGTTTTTATAATTACCCGTTTCCAAAGGCCTCCAAGTTGCAAAGCACATACTACTTAAAAAAAACTCCATGAAAAATAAAGAGATTATCCAAACACATGTACAAAAAATGTGTGTTGTTTAATGTTACCATGTTACTTTGCGATTGTACGACAAGGGGGTGATAATAACTAAGCACATCAAATAAAATCTGACTCAGTTACTCACTAGCATTTTAATTTATTTATTACTCCCCCCTCTTATAATAAAATGAATTAACAGTGATCCATTTTTTGCTAGGGAGTATAAATCGAGTTCAGTTAATTTACATACTTATAGATTAGGCTATTTGCATACACACTGATTTTAGACGGTCAGTAATAAGTCGGTCGATATTTTATCGGTTCATGGTGCTTGCACACATACCCGATTTTATCGGCGAAACGATCAGTCTTTGTTTTTGTGTCGAGGACGAGACGAGATTATTGAATACTTGTTCCTAAAAGAGTTGTTGCTATGTGGTTATTGTAGCGACGTATTAAACGCCGTAGGATTAAACGTATATTCTGGATTCACCCAATTAATCAAAGCAGAGAAAAAACGGGATCATTCCACACACTTTTTTGAATAACTGGCTTGTTAGAAGTAATATTTTCAACTATTTCAGAATGTCAATAGCATCCATATCTATAAAGTCACCCATTTAAAACGATATAAACACGCATTACCAAAACTTATTAAAAATGTCAGAAGAGCAGTCGCCTGAAATGGAGGATGGTGTAGCGAGAACTGCCGATACGATACGATCGGTAAACAATCTGTGCATGTGCAAGCTTGTGTTTAGTTACGTACGCCACTGCGTCGCCGGCACATCCCCGGCACCGGTGGTATCACGATTACTATTCTTAGAATTCGTGGGCGGTATGCAGTGGCAGTGGCCGGCTCGGCTGCGCATCGGCATTTTACCGGCGCCGATCAGCGGTCGGCGTGGGTGTGCTAGGTCCCGTTCCCGACTGTGGTTCACTATTGGAATTTGGACGGTCGGTAAAAAATCGGTCGTCCAAAATCGGTGTGTGTGTGCAACGCACCTTAGACTCGTCATTGTTGATCATATAAAAAATAGGAGTTGTCAACTATTTACTCCAAAATGCTAATGCTAATGCTACCGGTACACGATAGTATTGTCAGATTAGCTGTCGATCAATCTCAGTTTGATAAACCAAGCGGTCAAAAGTGAGAAAAACCTATTTTTACCCCATAAAACCCCCCGTAAAGCCCCGTTCCCATGGTCCGATCGTGCTGGTTCGTGAACTCATTCAAGTTTATCCTTGAACACGACATAGAGCTTTACTCACATGCACTAACAACGGAGTGGATGCTTTTAGCGAATTTCCCTATAGGGAAGTAGCTATTACCGTAGGTGGCACGGTAAGACCTAGACCCGGGACCGATTTACTTTTTCATTTTGATGTCCCCAGAGGCCAAAAACACCATTCGTTCAAATTTTTATATATGTATATATATATATATATACGTCCGTGAACGCGATAACTTGAGTAATTTTTGTCCGATGTTGATGAAATTTGGTTTGAAGGTGTAAAGCAGGATAAACTTGAATGAGTTCACGGACCAGCACGATCGGACCATGGGAACGGGGCTTTACGGGGGGTTTTATGGGGTAAAAATAGGTTTTTCTCACTTTTGACCCTCAAAACACAAAATTTCCCGATTTCTCTTTAGACCTTTATAAAGAGCTTAAAAAACAAATAATTTAGTATATAAAAGTATTTTTGTTCGATTATTAGTAACGGAGAAAATTTTAAAAATTGTAAATTTAAAATTCCCATGTTATTCTTATGGAGAATATTGTCAAATGTTGTGCTTTGCTTGTTTATGGATATATTTTGATTAAACTTGGCAAATTTATTTATTTTGTACTAAGCTATCAATATTTTACTCAAAAACACACTTTATTAGTTTCCTTGTAGCAGCAAACCTAGGTACTCGTTAAACCTAATGTTATTAAAATATATTTAACTGAAAATCAATTCAGACAAATGGAAATTCGCTTAGTCGGCTGGTTTGCTGCGGCGGGGGTATTATAAATTCACAAAAGCTGTGTTAACTAGTTAACCCCCTAGTTAATATGACCTCTAGACATATTCCATCCCCATGTAAAATTTGTAGCCAGTTATTTAACCAAAATCATCGTAGTTGATGTGAGCCACCGACAGATTGTGCTGATCTAAATTCCTGATTTCTGTCGAGTAAAGAATCTTTTATATGCTCAATTAAAACTAATGGAATTACTTATTGTGAGCTATAGCAACTGTTATGATCCATAAACTTTAGTCCAGGCGCTGAGGGGGTTTGAGCATGCATAAAAGTGTAACGAAATTTGACTTTTGATTGTTGCTATGGGTACCTAGTAGATGAAGAAAATCGATGTTGTCGCATTTCTAGGTGGTTAATAACATGGGGGGGAGGGGCGAAGTTGGGGGGCCGCCGCGCACAAAATAGCTTATATCTCGAGAACCAAAAGTCATATGAATACGTTAGACATGTCAAACTGTGCAGAAAAACGCATTCTACAAATAGATTATCTAGTAGTTTCACGGAAATTGACAAAAAGTTACTAAAAATTATATTTTTTAAATTTACGATAAGTATAATCAGGAGTATAATGGTTTTTGTTGTTGTTTAGAACCACTAATTTTTTAATTGACAACTTTTGAGAGTAGTACACAATAGGTAAATAGTACTTCTGTATAATGAAACTATTGCGGTACATAACTTAACAGCTATACAATCCTCAGATCCAATAAACATAACACAAACAAAGGCGCAAAACGCGTCGCGGTCATTGTTCCTGCTGCCGTAACTATTAATGGAGAGTACAGTTCAAGCTGAGACTTATATTATACTTTTAGAAAGATGGAGATTCTGAGGATCCATTTTCATATATGTAAAATAGTATTGAGCGACTATTATGTAGCGGGAAATATAGTATTTAAAAGAAGAGAGTTCAAAATATATTTTGGTGGTGGATCGTTTCCATCACCATCTGAAACTGCAATAAATTCCCTACAATTTATATATCTCCGAATCTGAGGTTGGTTATATAGTTATTTGTGCAACTAGTGAGAAAAGTGAGCAATTATTGTACTTTGAACTCGAGTTGCACATTATACTTTTCCTACAGTTACCCCCTATAAAAAAGTAATTTCTGGCCATATGGCCATATCAAAATTCCATGTATGTTTTTATAAAGCCATATATGGTTTTTTATGGCCATATATGGAAGCAGATATGGCCAGATGTGGTTGTATCCATATATGGGGGTGTCCATATATGGTCATATATGTAGTCTATATATGGAATTATTGGCCATATATGGCCATACATGTTTTCTATATATGAAATGATTGTCCATATATGGCCATAAATATCCTCCAATATGGAATTATTGTCTATATATGGCCATATATGACTCCCAGGTATGGAATTAAATTACTCATATAAGGAATAATAATTTTCCATTTATGCTCATGTATAAATGAGTTTTTGACAATAACTGGAATTATTATAAGGAATTGTTGCCACATTTGGGTTTTGTAACTGGAATCCCAAACACTTCTTATAATATATATAATATTTTTGTTGCTCTCGCAAGCACAAACTACTGAACTGATTGAGTTGAAATGTGGTACAGTAAGGGGGCAGATAATATAGGCATTTCTCCTTTAAAGTAATTAGTAGTAAAGTAATAAAGTGTCCAGATTTGAACCCAGATGACAAAATCCTGTACATACATCTATTGTACAATTTTATTATAACGCAACAAAATCTTTAAACTGACGTATAATTTTAAAATTGTAAGTGTAGTGTCCTAAATAAGGAGAATATTATATTAATAATTAATTAATTGTACCTTTGCTATTAAACAGCCGCAAATATCAATGTCACGTAGTTAGGCTATTTTAATGATAACATTCTTCAAATGACGTAAAATGTCTAAGAAAATCTTGTTTTACGAGACCACATACAGCTTCTCTTATTCGTAATGGGTTTTGTTGAGTGAACTGACATGAAGCGGTTGTGATGTAGTGGCTAAAGGGGCCGACTCCCACGCTGGAGTCCCGGGTTCGAATCCTAAATGGCTGATAGAAAATTTTGTTTTGAAATTTTCGTATAAAAAAATTTTATCATGGTTTTAATGCATAGTTTATACCATTTGATGTAAAAATATGTTTAATTTTTATTTTTTTATTATTTTTTTTTATTTAAAGATTTTCATATATGGGGGATTCCATATATGATCATATCTGGTTATACTTGGTCCAAAACCAAATATAACCAGATACAAAAAATTTTATATGGCCATATATAAACTTTTTCATATAAAACAAATAAATTGGTGAAGAAACATAACCTATTTTTACACAGAAGTGAACTTTTAATTGAGCGGAGCGAGCGAAGCGAGCGAAGCTCTTATACGTCGACTCTTATGCATTTCGTAATACGCAAACTCCTCCTAGACGGCTAAATCAATCGTTTTCAAATCTTATGGTGATAAAAACCATATCGGTGAGTGCCAACATCTATATGGCGTTAAAATATTCTCTCAGGAATCCGCCCCACTGGGTCTCAAAGTTTCAATGTAATCCTTATGGAAGCAGTATTTGACACATAAACAAAGACATGATCACTGTTAACTTTGAAAACAGTGCATAAAGAAATAGCTGATAGCATTATTCCACAGATATTAGAACAGAAACGGTATGGATCATAAATATAATTAAATGACGACACTGACTTGAGGTCCATGACATAAGAAGTGGTGAAGGAAGTAGTAAAGGAAAGCAGTCTGGAGTGTGGAAACTGTTTATGACGATTAGATAAAGGTATCTGCAATCCTAAAATGCTATGGGAAGGGAGGAAATCAGGCCCAC